GTAAACTCTGCCTACGAACTAAGGCCAGAGTTTACAAGCAAATGATACGCCCGGTGCTGACCTATGGATCTCCTGCGTGGTCCATAGCCAGCACCTCGCAAAAGCAGAAACTGGCACTATTTCAGAATAAAATACTGAGGATAGTGACAAGGCCCCATACTTCGTTAGAAATATCACCCTGCGAAGAGATCTGGATACAGAGGACCTGCTGGACTACATCCGGAACCTAACGTCAGGGTTCCTCTACAGGATCCGGCACAGCAGTCAGAATCCCACCGTCAGGGTTTCTTGCACCAAGAAGTTCAACTGTGACCGCAGACCTCTCCCTGCGGACACAGTCTAAGAAGCAGACGTGGACTACATGCGATGACCAGTTCCTGCACCACAACAAGGACCATGGGCTAGATTTAAGTTAGCTTAGGAAGCATTAGAGGATGTGTTATGGTTTAGGTTTAGGTTAGAATAAGTTAGATTAAGTCATACGATGTCATTTAAAACAACAAGATGTTAGCATTAACGATCCGTAGAATAAGTAGCAGTTAAAAGTATTGTAAAACTTGTCTGAAATAAATATGTTTAAAAGCAGGTAGTTGAACCAGTCTTAATCGGAAAGTACGGGAGATCACTTCCCCCACTGCCTCATCGCCTTTGATAATTTACACCGCAGTTGTGGACGAAACGGCAGGAAGAAATTCCCATGGACCAGTGAAAAAATTTCTGGTTTCCTTGTTATTAGTCCTTCGGTAATTTCTCAAAGTTTCGCAACTTCATTACATTCTGATTCAGAGTTTAGTGATTGTTCGGGTGCTTCTGCATACTGTTGTTGTTTAACTTCATTCTGCAGTTCATCTATGTTTCACTGTGGTGTTGTCTTGGTTTTGTTGTATTTCTTAGTTGATATTCTTGTTGTGACTTTCGCTCCGACTGTGGCCTTTGTCACCATCTATACCTTTGAGGCTTCTTACATCTAGTACGTTACTACATCAAAGTAGCTCCCAGAAGGAAACTGAGATACTGACAAAAAAAAAATCGGAAATTTGGAAACAAGGTAATTCATTGCTCCTGCAAGTAACGATTTCTTCATTAATATTAAATAGATGTGTTGCTTTATACGTAATTAAGGAAAGGTTGCGGGATGGACTAAAGGCAAACTTGGAACGAACGAGATCATTTTATTGAAGGAACTACAAATTCGTCACTGATCAATTGCGAAAAATTGATGTTCCAAATTTCGTTTCTCACTTGCATTTCCAAAGTAAGCGTGCAAATATCTTAATTTTCATAATGCATATATGTGTTTTATCACGCAACTGGTCAACTCACTTCATAAGATTACTTCCAACAGTTTATCTTGCTGACAAAAACGTTTGAATCTGATTCAAAATTTTATGGTCAAAATAATTTATAGAACTGTAGAGCAACAATCGTTCTTCAGACCCTTATTTGATTCCTTCAAAATAGGTCTCGAATCGGAAGGCATTATTTTTGAAACATTTAAATGCTCGTTTATGCCAGATGTTAGTGTCTGTTTTTACCGAACCCAATATGGTCTTAAGTGTGGCTTCAGTTTTATTTCCTAAACCACCAACAGTTTGTCATAAGAATCAATTTGACTGCATCAAACACAATTATTTTTGCAAATTCAGGCTTTGCGATAGTTCTAGTAAATATTGCAATCTCGCATGTAGTGTATGTTTGTTGCAAGTGTGTTATGTTTAGGTGTACCGTTAATTTTCTAATTCATCACTGAACTTCAAATTTTTGGTTAATAACAAAAGTAGAAAGCGGCGGGGCAACATTCATTCATCAATTCCAATAAGCTTTTAAAAGAAATCGCGGCACTTTTTGTCACCTTGCACATAATTAGCTTTGAAAAAATAGAATCAATGAAACTGAAGATGACCACGAGGTAACTTTCCTGTCGAGCTTTTTATATGAGACCAATTAAAATGTATTATTTACACTTAATTTAAAACGTAACAGTTGTGAATCTTGCGACCGGCTGCTCTACCTGATCAACTTGATACGCTAAAACTGCTTCTCTATGCTCACTTGGCTCGACTTTAGAGATCTCAGTTCAAATGGTCATTTTACCCGAACCTACGAGTCCATTTAAATGAAAAATAATTAATTGAATATATATCTCTTATGCAGCTTTAAGCCTAGCGATTACCAAATGGAAGATATCGCCTAAGGTACCAAATAGAGGAAGTTGTCGAATGGTAAAAGCGAAGTTCGCAACGTCTATTAAAGTGGTTAAATCTTCGAAACTCCGTCGACAAATAAAATTGATGATGGTCTTTAGAAGGGCAGACGTCGAACGCAGCGCCTTTCTGATTTCGTCAAGTTAATTTGTCATTCTGCCTATACCTGCCATCAAAACTGACGAGAACAGTGATATCTATCTTGGTTCGGACATTCCTAAGGCCGATCGTATCTTCCTGTCCAATTAAAGTTGAATAAATTTGGGGATCGGTTTTGTTAGATTTACCAGGAAGAGTTTATGCCTCGCTTCTTTAGACCATAATACGTTTGAGAACAGTTTTGTCGGGGGGAGGTCGAAAAAAAAAACCGAAACTGAAAGATCCACAAAAGAATATAATTCAAATCGCCAACTAAAAGCCCAATGGCACGCTTGAATAATTTTAAATGTCGTTTTTCGGATGTTTCAATATAAAGATTAGTTTAATTTTACCTTTAATGCGTAAGCTTACTAAATAGACAATTTTAACCAAGTTCGACATTGTTTTATTTCTGATATTCAGCTATAGTAATAATTACCAAACGCCACTTTTGAAGCACTCTGTACAATATTTTCTTCGAACTCAAAGCGCTTTTTTATCTTATATGCTGCGGGATTTATTTCATTTGATTGCGAACAGCGGGTATGACACATAAAGTTTACCATTTTATCTAATTATCAACAAAATTTATTTTTTAACTATTTTCTAATTTGAAATTCGAAATGCGTTTTTCATACTTGTCTATACTTAACAAACTTGTCGTTTTAGGCTCGTTGCTGTTATGTAAACCGTATCTCAGATACCATTCTAGGAACAAAATTGCTTAGGTTCAAGTTTGGCTATCGGGTTAGTCTATTTGCTGAACTACCTTGTATCTTTATTTAGTTTGTTACCAGGTGTACCAAAAAAGCTAGTGACGATCTAGTTAGCAGCTTGACTGACTTTGCCTGATAATTTGTTATGTTATGTTGTTACATCATTTATGACAACTTTATAAAAGTTATAAGCACAAACACTTCAATTTTCATCTTGTCTCGTTTTCTATAAATTGCACCTCATCCAATAAACACAAGTTTTTTCGTAGATATTTGGTTTTGCAAGTTTCATTGGCAAAGGAATCATGTGCATATTTTCAAAAAATTTTAGAGGATTTTAATACGTGCCAATTTGAAGAATATGATGGTTGATTGTAAATGTAGTTCTTAAGAGTTAAGAGTAGGTATCGTTCTTTATATCTTCACAAAATCGTCAATCCATTCTATAAGATTTGCAATATTTTTGTTTAAGTATAAAACGAATTTGCTTAAAAAATACCATACTTGACAAGAAAAAAGCAAATAACGTTTATACACCTACTACAGTATATCGGTTTACAAATCTTCGAAAAAATCATTGGTTTATTTTAGGTTTCCCATAATATCAGACGGATCAACTTTCATGGCTATAAATATCTCAGGATGGCACGGCAAAGAAGAATACGATTCATTTGAATAGATTGTTCATCATTGATTTTATCAACGCTCGAACCGAAAATGTTTTTATACTGAGCCACAGGACCATCGTGTATGTAACGTGATGTGAGCGTAAATAAAAGGGTTTAAAAGGTATATTGTAAGTTGTACGAAATTTAACTTAAGGCAAATGATTCTACAATTAAAATGCATTCACTTTTAATGCATGTTTGAAAAAAGTTTACATTTTTTATATTTAAAATTGACACGTAATTAACTGGAATCAGCTTATAGCTTCTAAAACAGGTGCCCTTTAAAGCATTTCCGTCAAGTTATTACCAGTTGTTGAAAATTAAGAAAAACATGAATAAATTGTACTGTTTATTCAGCATGCGAAGGTAGAAATGGAAGTTTATGCGTGGGGTACCGCATTTTAAATTTTCTATGAAGTTTGTATTAAACTAGCTGGTTGTGGTAGCGAAAGTGGTTTTTCACTTATTGGGGAAAATCGTGCATGTTTTTCTAATAGTACGAAATTTGTAATAAACTACATATTTATTTTGGGGATTATTTACCTGTTTGATAATCTTGCTTTGAGGAGGATTCTTTGATTTGATCAAGAACAGAAATTTTTTGTTAACTCTACTTCAAAAAAGACACATAATTTGGTTTTTGCATCCACAGTGCTAAAAACACCGTAAGATGTAAAACAGAGAAGTGGAAGCTTGAAAGTTTTGAACGCAATCCAAACTGCCATGCAAATGTGGGAAAAAGTAGTCAACATTTCTCTAACGTATTTTAAGGTAACAGAGCCATTAGTAGTGAACTTCAACATTTTAAGAGTTTGTAAAATTATAATTTTCTTACTTCGAAAAACAGCTTTTTATGGGGTACCCTATACATTAGTGAAATCCGTTATATGACCTGATTAAATTCTTCCATAATAATAATATATTAAGCTATAATAAGATATAACATCAGTTGAATTTCCTTTCGTTATTTAACTTTTGTTCATTACGAATTATTTCCGCTTCCAACTTTTGACGAAAAATCTGAATACAGTATGTCTGGATCAAGAACTTACCACCATTGTCCAATGTTTATTTCTTGGTCGATATCAAAAATGTATTTTTTGTTAGTTAGGTTTTTAAAATAGATATTCAACTAATAGGTTTCTAAAGTGGGTTTCTCAATTTTCAACTAGAATCATAGCTAACTACGTAAACTTTCATGTTATCAAATTTCAAAAAGTACAATAAAGTCAATTTTGAAAAAAATTGCAACTGGGTTTCACTTACAATCGCATAAATCAATTTATGCCGATTATCATGTTTCTGCGATACCGGGTATGCATTGGCTAACACTGGTTGAGTCGCATTTT